GACACATTTAATTATCCAGTGGTATAGAAAAGTTTAAATAAGACGCAAGTTTTGAAAAAGAGATAGCGTGGAGATTGAATTGGCAAAGCAAGGCTACTGATATCTTATCAAATTGTTTAATAAATACACATACATATGTATTTGTGCATGCTAAAATGTATATAACAATACTTTCATATGTGTTTATTTGAATAATTTAACAATACAATTAAGTATATGTAACTTAAAAATACGACACTTAGGATTTACACATACATATATTCGTATGTATACCCAGTAGGAAAAGCCAATAAGTATTGTTGCTCCTTCAACTATGAAATAGAAGATAATATCGCTTACTTTAGCTTTAACGCGTTTATTTGTTCAACAATAAATGATAACATTCGGGAAAGTAACAAGTAACGTAGAATAGGAAAGATGCCGCTAGGTTTGGGGGCTATTCGCTTCCGTTCACTGATTAAAGAAGGTGACTGCCAAATATTTTCGAGAAGTCATTCGTATGTATTGTACATGTATGTGTACACTGCTCATATTGTTTGTTCTCGCTATCACTAGTTCCCATTTCCATTATATAACACTTTCCTTACAAGTAATAACACAATAAACTTTTATAAGCAATGTACATTGGGCTTACGCAGAGATACATATGTACATACATGTTGATATATGTATATATGTATATATATATGTTGATGGAATTGTATCTAATATTATGTTCAAGTGTATTTATACGTGCAACACTTTGCTAAGTAAAGTTTATTTGATTAACAATGGCTGACGTTTCACCGAAAATATCGGTCAATGTGTGAGATATATAATTGAAATTCGGACATAATTCTTTCCTGATAATAGTATGGCTGTATGTCAAAAATAGTTTGAGTCGGGTCAATACTTCCCTTAGCCCCCATGTACCTATTATAAAGATTTTCGAGCTTCCTACTGACTTTATACCACATATATATATTTCCCAATATGTGAGTTATATTAATAAAATTGAGTGAGAATGTTTGCCAAAAATAGCTAAAATCGGGTTAATTCTCCGTCAATCTCCCATATACATGTACATAACATGAGATTTTCAAACTTCCGGTTGTAACCTGTTGGCTTTATACTATACATATCCGTCAATATGTAAGATATCTCTTCAAAATTAACTGAACAAATATTGGATATACTTTAGATTAATACCTAAAATATGTAAAATTGATCTGCGAATTACCCGAACTCCCATATACTACATATAACGATTTTATTATAACAAACCTTATGTCGAATGCTTATGGTATATTCAGATTTCATAGAGTAAAGATTGGCAAAACTTTGAAATCGTATATTTGATGATGAAGTTGGTTCAAAATCTCTTTGATATATTTGTGTTCTTTAATACTTGAAACAGCTTAAAATATTATTTATAAAAGCCTATAAACTAATAATGCATTCGCAAGCAATTGATATTTATTAGTATCAAAGATATGAATGAAGTAGTTTTGTATATAAAAACTTATTTTAGACTATCATAAATTGTTAAGATCGGATCATTATAGCATATAGCTGCCATACAAACTGAACGATCCGAATCAAGTGCTTGTATGAAAAACTTTTCCATTTGTCGAGATATCTTCAAGAAATTTGGCAATATTGTCTTAGGCACTTGAGGAATCTCTGAAGAAATTGATCAGATCAGATCACTATAGCATTTACAAACTGACCGATCAAAATTTAGTTCATGTAAGGAATCTCTTGTATTTGTGAAGGGTATTATAGCTTCGGTGCCACCGAAGTTGACGGTTTTCTTGTTTAATATAAAGTTTTGCCAACCTCTGAAGGTATTGCCTAAATAATAAAGTTCAGAAATTTGCAATATTAGTTGCATTTAAGTGGCTACGTTCTCTGGTTTGCACTTAGCTGCAACAACAATGAAACGATCCTGATAAATATGAGGAGATCCATTCTGTTTCTTTCGGTTTTGTATTATAAATTTGGAAGCACTAACCAAGAAAATGAATGGAAAACGCACTTGGTATGCAAGTATAAATAATTTTTTACATTGAATTGCAAAACCATATTGCTAAATTTGCCATCGAAATACATTTTAATAATTCCTTCCCTCTCTCTAATAATTGCTTGTGAAAAAATATAAAATATACCGTTGTTGTTTCTAACTAAATTTCATTATTTTTTAATAACTCTTATCTCCACAGGCAATAATAATTTGTGAGCTATTGTTATTAAGCTATCGGCAATTTCAATAATAATTGCACATTATATTTTCGTAAAAAAAAGATAAAATAATTTGCAAAATTCACATTTAAATTTAGGTGATTTTGGTCAATTAAATCAGACTTCCATAGGAATATTGTAATAGCTAATATTGATAATGGCAACTCTGTTGAGGCAGGCTGTCAAATGAGAATGGAACAAAGCTATGAGTCAGCTGTTGGTACAATACAAATAATTATTGGATAAATTATACGTTTTGTTATATTATAGTCGTGGTTATAGGCAGCTTTCTGTAAATTATATTTGGCGAAAGATTTAATAGGTGAAAAAATGAGCGATAGTGATAGCGACGACTGGTCTGAAGAATGGATTCCTTATAGTGAGCGAAACGAATGGGCTGACATTGTACCGATTCCTCAAGATGATGGTGAACATCCTATTGTTGCTATAGCCTACAGTCCTAAATGTGAGTGTTATTTAGAGCTAAATTAAGTAGTTTTAATATATTTACATCATTTGGTTACTATAATGTTAGTGTACTGTTTATGAAATGTAGTCCGAGAAGTGTTTGATTATTTCCGCGCAATACTGGCACATAGAGAGAAATCACAGAGAGCTTTGGATTTAACCGCAGACGCATTGCGGCTTAATCCTGCAAATTATACTGTATGGCAATATCGGCGTGATATACTACGAGCCTTGGAATCTGACCTGTACGAAGAGTTAGACTATTTGGATGAAGTTATAAGAGACAATGCCAAAAATTATCAAGTTTGGCACCATCGTCGTGTTATTGTGGAAATGTTAAATGATTCCACGAAGGAACTGGAGTTGACAGAAGTAGCTCTAGAGCGTGATAACAAAAATTACCACGCATGGCAACATAGGCAATGGGCCATAAAAACGTTTGAGTGAGTAATATAACAAATATATACACAATTTACAAGTAGGTAATTTCTGGCAATGCATTCCATAGCCTTTTTGAAAACGAACTGTCTTTTGTGGATCGTCTGATTGCCGAAGATATTCGAAATAACTCAGCTTGGAATCAGCGCTTTTTCGTACTTAAGCATTATGGATTCACTCCAGATGTAGTGCAACGCGAGATTCAGTATACAATGAACCGTATTCGTGTGGTGAAAAATAACGAAAGCGCTTGGAATTATTTAGGAGGCATTTTGAAATATGAAGATAACGGTACAAGAAACTGTCACCATGAAGTTTTGTCGTTTTGTGAAGAATTGTATTCTAGTGGTGTACGATCACCTTACCTATTGGCCTTTTTAATCGATCTTTATAAAGATCAATGTCTACAACAATCAAATGTGGCAGAATCTGATGTATTGTCGCGAAAGGTTTTCAACCTTTGTAATGACATGTCTAAAAAATATGATATTGTACGGCGTAAATATTGGCAATATATTGCTGAAAAGTTTAAAGTAAATTTATCAGAAAAATAGCTTCCTAAAATTAAATTCTTGAGCTAAAAGTATGTTTAAAATTTACGACATATTTGTGGATCTGTATATTTTATCTGTATTTTTTAATAAAAACTTGATTAAACTACTAAATATTTGCTTATGTAAACACGTATATATGTATAAAGGGACTTTTGATGTTTATTTTGCTTTTTTGTACTTGTACAATGATTATTTATGGCCACGTTATGCTTTTATTTATACCGCATTGCAGCTTGTTTCGCATGGTGTACGTAAACACCGTTTACATATAGATATTTACTTGTATGTGTGTGTATAATAAAATGAATAGAACGTTCCAACGACAGTCGGTTCTACGTAACCGGTAGCATTTCTCCAAATTATTTCAGTTATGTTTTCTATCCCTGGAACAACAACATTCATTTAGATTTTAGAAAAAGTTCAAACAAGAAAGAACCGTTGCACCGAAGCTATAATACCCTTCACAAATACAAGGCTCTTTACAAGAACTTCATTTCGATCGTTGTTGTTGTTGTAGCGACAGAATTCTGCCGAGTTGACAGTCCTTGGCCGGAATAAATCCGGGTCCGTTCCGGTTACGTAGACCCGACTGTCGTGGGAACGGTCGTTCAATTAGTATGGCAGCTATATGCTATAGTGATCTGATCCGAACAATTTTTTTGGAGATTACATTGTTGCTTTAGATAATAACGCATACCTAATTTCGTGAAGATATCTCGTCTAATGAAAAAGTTTTCTATGCACACACTTTATTCCGATCGTTAAGTTAATATGGCAGCTATATGCTATAGTCATCTGATCTATACAATTTCTTCGGAGATAGGATATTTCCTTAAATAATATTCCATGCCAAATTTAGTGAAGATACCTCGTCAAATGAGTTTTCAATACAAGTACATGATTCCGATCGTTAAGTTAATATGGCAGCTATATGCTATAGTCATCCGACCTAAACAATTTCTTCAGATATTACATTATTACTTTAGATAATAACTTATGCCAAATTCCGTGAAGATATTACCTCAAATAAAAATGTTTCCCATACAAGTACTTGATTCCGATTGTTCAGTTTGTATGGCAGCTATATGCTATAGTGGTCCGATATCGGCCGTTCCGATAGATGAGCAGCTTCTTTGTGAAAAAAGGGTAGGTGCAAAATTTCAGATCGATAGCTTAAAAACTGAGGGTCTAGTTTATATAATATAAGTATATAAACAGATGGACAGATGGACATGGCTAAATCAGCTCAGTTCATCATGCTGATCATTTATGTACATATATATTTTATAGGGTCTCAGACGTTTACTTCTGGGTGTTACAAACTTCGTGGCAAACTTAATATACTCTGTTCAGGGTATAAAAATGGACGTACACCTACTTAATACATCATACATACGCTAACTTCATTTAAAATTTTTCATAATATAATGTTGCCATATGTTATTTTTATTGCTGTCACGCTATATTCGAATCCTTAATTTTCTAGTAAACTGTTTGTAGTTATCATTCCCTAAATAACTTTGACATACTGAAGAGTTGACAGTAGTAAGTCGGTATAGATTCGTTCCGATTAGGCAAACCCTAATGTCGTGAAAGCGGCCTTGTAAGTACCATAAGAGTAGGGCATAATTAAAAATACAAATTTGGCTACAAACTTTGCTTTGATAAATTAAGACATTAACATTTTTATTTGTATTTTTCATTAGAGTGTACGCATATACATACATATGTACATACATATTATATATATATAAATGATTAAAATGCCATCAAGATTTATAAAAATTGTGCGTGCATATTTTGTTCCAGAAGTAAAGCATGTGTATTTTTACGTACATACTTACATACAGGCATATCTACGTGCATATGTATATGTCTTTATTAAAATCCGCGATGTAATTAAAATGAAATAATTATCGGTACTTTCATATCCGACTTAGTTAAGCTGATTGATTCCATATGTATGTATGTATGTGTATGCTTGTATATACATATTTTAAAATCGTGGTTTAAATGTGGTTGGATACTGATGAAATCGTGGCCGAAGCACGGTATTACCACCCTTGTCGTACTCTTTTCCAGCCTGCCCAAGGATAACACTGTCGACTGTCTTGCCATCTTTTCCGCCAGAGTTTGCTTCAATAACGTCCACAATGCGGGGATTCTTTCGATATTTGTACCACCAGTACTCAAACACCAATGTGATACAGGCCATGCCAATTCCAACAAATATAACAATAAAGACTCCACCAATATTGTGTATGGAAATACCGTCTGACTGGTCTTCTGGCTTGTCACATTTGGCTTGCGTTTCGTCATTTTTCCACCACTTTTCCTTCAATTTCTCCAGTTGCCGTTTGTTGAGTAATGTTAAAATTCTGAATTGATAAAAGGAATGAATATATTATGCTTTTATGTCTTGTGCTCAGAGGGTATAACTCACGCATTGTTAAATTGGTCTTTGAGATGTGATCCTTGTTGAACGGCAATGGCATATGGTTTTCTGGAGAATTCTTCACCTACAATCTGCAAATCACAATTGGTCATCACAAGGTATCGAATATCTGTGGCATCGCCGAGAAAGGCGAAACCGGTGGCTGAAGTTGAATTGCGAACTCTTTCTACCGCCTCTTCAAGGGTAGCTGGTAACTGGGCTTCCTGCATGGCCTGCCACATTTTCGTATATTTATCACTAACCGGGTAATCCCAAACAGCTAGTTTTGAGCGCTCTAGTGGCGTGAGGGAATCATTCAACGACAAGTCTTTCCAAATTTCATAAAAACGTTGCTCAATATTGGCCATTCTTTGAAAATAAGTCATTGCTGAGGAGCCATTTAACGGTGCATATAGAATTTTGTATTGCTTAGCAAGATCATCCAAAGACTCCACTGGTGTATCGAGACGAGATACAGTTAAAAATGCAGCCAAATTGGCTGTGTATGATGCAATAATGATGAACCTAATAAATCAAAATTCCATTATATTTAATTATGTATACGAGTATGCACTTATAGAGGTAAAAGTGTGTATACGTGTGTTTATTCTTAAGCTCATAAATGTGTATAAACTGTTATACCCGAATAGCCACCAAGTGGCTGCCACCAAACGGCCGGAAAGGTTTTTCGGCGCCTCACCGCCGCCTTGCGGTGTCAAGGAAGTCATACAAAACCAAAGACATTCCTTTAGGTTGAATTCACGTTTCTCATCGTCATCCTTATATTTTTCACGATTATTCTGGTAACTGTAGGGGCTCCATCGATCAAAAATCCACATCAAAAAACTAGTAAAGAAATAAGCTGCCAAAATGCACAACCAAACGTTCGTCTCAAGTACTGTTAAAAATTTGAACAAAGAACTGGGGACCTGCGGTCGTTGCATCATAATCGTAATCCCAACCAGATCATAGTAAGGTACCGTAAAGTCAATAACAATTTCACGTTCAGCCATAACATGCATGGAACCTAAGCCAATGTCTGCTTGTTTGTCCATTAATTTTTTCACAATTCCGTTCCATTCGCCCTTTTCATCCATGTTGCCAAATTTTCCGTCTTCTACCTCTTGAATAGTATAGTCAAAATGTACTATGTCTGCTATCTCGTTGATTAAATCAATGCAATAGCCTTTATAACCCTTTGGGGCCTTCTCATCTTTAATAATGAAGGGAGCTTGCTGTTGGTGAAAGAGAAAAATTGCGGATTAAATTTGATAGGGTTAAGCTGAAGGGTAACTTACAACTACTGTAAAGATGCGATAGACCGTATCGGCGGTTAGGTTTTTCATTACGTCTTCATCTTTAACCACTAACGGAGAGTCTAATCCTGCGGTCCAAGTACCAATTGATTTTGTATTTACAGAGTTCCCTCCACGAATTTGTAGAACATTAATGTCCATTTCAAATTTCATATAACTGTACCCATTAAATGCTTTTCCTGGTTGTGTAACTAATTCAAACACGCCATAAGAAGTTGGCTCCTGAATCTGAATAAAATCATACACATTTTTCAAATTATACATACATATGTATATGAATGTACGTAAGTATGTACGTATGTATGAAAGAAGGACAGTACTCACCATTGTAAAAGCAGCTCTAAGATCTATATTTCTCTCTGGGGTATTACCACCTTGAAACTCATCACAGCCAATATACTCCATATTTTTTGGCCAAGCTCCCGATTGTAACATATCCCTATATAAAGAGCGAATAACACTTTACAAATCTGTTTGTTTTTGGGAAAAAGTAAAGAAAGTGTATTACTTGATCGCTAAAAAAGTGCGAAGGGCCAAATCAAAATAAAATGCTGACATTATTTGTGGTTCCTCGTTCAAATTGAAAGTGGTCTTTAGACGCCCAAAGCGGTCACGGTTCTGAGCATATGACATTGGTTTCAAGAACATTATAGTGGCGTTGTCACGTTGACTACTCACTTCACCTTCACTCTGAGTTATGGCGTGCCATGCAAAGTTACGTTCAAAATATGTCGGTTTTACTGATTCTAAAAGTGTAATTAAATATAATTGCATATGAAATATATATACTATGTAAATATGTAAGTATTTTATGAACTTTCGCACCTAAAACCATACGAATAGACATTAAATTCCCCAGTATGAAAAAATTATTTATGTCTAAATTACGTAGTTTCTCTATCTGCTCTTCACGTTCTCGTTTTCCCTCCTTCGCAATGCCAGTAATGACATGGCGCGTTTGTATGTTTTGCAATAATGATTTGTACTTATGATCCATGACGAAGGTGTCGTCATATAGAATGGCTGCATTGGTTATATTCATTTTCCGTACAATACTGCGCACAACTTCAGGTATAAGATCAGCCGGAGGCATTACTTGGAGCAAATATTTTTGTTTGCTCTCATCCATATCGCGCCATTGGCGTAAATCTCCTTCCTGTCCATAAGAGGCGCTGATAGTTGGTAACCCCAAAGCTTGAGTAAATGATTTGACCGTTTCCGAAGATATTCCCGATTTTGTGGTATCGAATACGACATGAGGGGGTTGTTTACGGTCAATGCTCTCCGCGTATTTAGAACAAACTGAAATCAAATTGATATTTTTTATTAAACGATTCCATGTTATCTATCTTTGAAACCAAGAATTCATTAAATGAATTCTAGCGCGGTATATGGTAGTCAAAGTCACTACAACAATGACTTACTTGATTCCAAAAGTGTTTTAGCATCGGTTTTGTTTGCCTCGACTTGGTCAATCTGAATTGATATTCCATAACTAGGATTTTTCTTCAAATATGTTGATACCACTGTAACAGCTTTGGCTGCAGGCTCGTTGTCAGCATCGTTAATAAAAACTAGAAGAAAATATTTAATGAGATAAAACTCGTTAAAGACGGAGTTCTATCGTTCAACCTAGAACTTTTTTTGACGAACAACACAATTTAAAACTATCTCACTTTTGTCGAGAGGACCTCAAACATATTTGTAATGCTATTTTATATCTTCATGCTGTTTGGTGCGACATATGCTTGATAGAGTTTCTCCGCAACAATTGTGTTGTGTTTTAAGACCGAACGTACAATAACAATCGAAATTTTAAGTTTTATAAAATATAAAAGTTTTACGATTACACATACACATCTTACAAATATTGTATGATTGCATTGGAATATGAAATAATGTAATGGTGGATGGGGTTGATGAGGTATTTGTAGGTGTTCTTTAGTATCGACAAAAAGTTATATATTTACCATATGCGGAATTTGTAATACCCAGATGGAAACGACGGATACCCTATAAAATATATACTACATATACATATAAATTATTCTTGACGTGCTGAGTCGGTTTGGCCATATCATTTGTCGGAACCGCCGATCACTATAGCATATAGCTGCCATATAAACTGACCGATTAAAATTAAATTATTGTATGGAAAACTTTTTCTTTATTTGAGAAGGGTATTATACCTTCGGTGCAAACGAAGTTAACGTTCTTCCTTATTACTACTCAATTTAATGTGTTTTCAGGGAACACTGTTTCGTTTTCAATCTGGACTTTCAAAAAAAGTATTATTTGGTTCAAACCTATCTTTTTCTTTCTTACAAGTATTTTTGAAAAAATATACATAATGTATCGGTGAATCGATAGTCGGGACAGTCGGACCTAATGATTAATATGTACGTATATAACGGAAGCTAATATTATCAACAGAAAAATCGATGAGAGCTAATTAGGAATTACACAGCAGTTAACTGAAATCATTTTAATTTACTTATTCACACATACCTACATTTGTGTGCGTAGATATGTATAATAGAAAGTTTCCTTTTTTAATTCAATTGTCATATCTGTATTTCCTATATGAGTATAATTAATACATACGTATTCGCATTAGTATGCACAGACTTTAATAATGACCTATATGAGTGGTGGTTCGAAAATGTTTCGAATAAAAAGTACGTGTTAGTTATAAATAAATTAGTTGATTTACTCACAAACATTGATGTTTTGATTGGTTTGTCCGGTAGCAAGGCTTGCGAGTGATATTATTTTCAAAAATATCAAAATATTGTTGTAGAATTTTAAATGTGCACTTGGCATCATAGAAATAAATTTATATTATATGAGTAGAAAAATAACTTATACTTAGAAAAGTGTAATGTCTAACCGCACTTAAAGAAGGATACAAACGAACTGTTGTGTCCTCAGCAAAACCAAATACTGGGCATTTGCCAGAGAGTTACGATAACCTTTTTGTCAAAGCTCAGTCAATATTATACCACTAATTCATTTTATTTTTTGTTGTCTTATTGAATATTTTAGTACCACCACACCCATACATACCTATAAAACAAGCGCAGGTGAGTATGAATGTTCGCATCTTTGTTTGTGTCTCTTGAAACACCATATGTACATAGTCACTTACTTGCGTTCAATTGCATTTAGATACAAAATTATAAGAACACATATACATATAAATGTATGTATATGGATAGATACCTATATCTATAAACTTAACAATATGAGCGTGCATACACAAATTGACATATACATATATACTTGTAATAGCGTGCACATATTCATTCGGGTGTTAATACTAGACCGTTTCCTATGATTTTATGTATAGTACTATTGTAATTACAATAGAAGTGCACATGAATGCATGTAAATATGTATGTATGTTGCAGTATACCTTAGCATACTTAACGACGACTACAAGCCCCGTTTCCATATCAGTCGGGTCTACGTAACCGGAACGGACCCGGATTTTTCTGGCAAAGGACTGTCAGCTCGACAAAATTCTGCCGCTACAACAACAACAACAACGACTACAAGCCCAACTAGTTCGCCGACCCTTCTTTTTCCTATACAAGCAACTACTTGTTTTATGGTTTGATATCCCACATCGATGACAAAGTTAACAATTTATGTTTAGTGTATGAGATCTATTGGTCTATTTTTGATCCCAAAATCCTAGTTGTTAATTTCTGGTGTTCATGTGCATGCCATACATAATATATTATATTTGTGGTAAAACTAGTGCATAATAATAGGAGAGGGTTCATTACACCCCCGTGAGAGCATGTGTATCTATGTAAAGGATTGTAATACAGGTGTGCACTTTATGTATGTATGTATTTTAAGTTTTTTATTTTTATTTTATATGGAAACATTAAATATACTTGCATTAGATACATATTTGATAAGAGATTCTATTTTATTTACTGGTAACACCGGTTAACCTGATGGACTCTACGTTCACTTAGATAAAACCAGGATTCAATGCAAACTATTTTATGTTTGACTCGTTTTTACGTATTTACGTTCTCTGTAACCTTTACATTTATTTACCACAAGAATGATGGAAATAGAAATTATGACAATGTGTCCTCTTACTTTTATTGCAGCGTGTTTGACAGCACAATGTTTTGATTGTGACGTCTTTAACTAAAAGAAAGGAACTTTTTTACTTTTGTTTACAATTATTAAGAATTTGGCACTTCCGTTCATTTATGGCTATTTGTCCTCTTGATATTGAAAGTGTAGTGATATTCAAGCTTTTTTAATAGAATACTTAAGCTTCATTTTCCTTTCATAACAATCCTCATGCGGAATGTTTTTAAATATATCTTAATTTTGCTGAATTAAATATTGACTAATCTATTGTATAAAACAAATCCATTTAACGTACCCATTTCTGACTTGTTGGATAGAAATATAATTACAGCAGATAGGATTCGGTTCTATCAAGCACTTTTTCTGGAGAAGAACCGACGTTATAGGAGTATAAATATCATTTATCATTTGTCTTAGGAGATCTGCAATAATTTTGCAGTAATTTTTAAATGGTACCTGGATATTTCATAAACTGTTTTTCGGATCAGATATTACATAACAATATACTTGTACTATATATAACATAGAAAACATATTTTTATATAATAAATTTTTTAATAAAAAAATGCAGAAAAAATATTTGAAACTTACATTTCGAAATTGTACATTCATGTATAATCGAAAAGTGTGTCGGAATTGGGGGACATAATTGTACCAGAGAATGTAAATGAATAAAACCTCCTCTGTTAATACGCTACATGCAGAGAATGTAAATGGGGTTTTTACCGATAATACAGATTTTTAATTCAGAAGGCTTTTCATAATTATAAATTTGTCATATCATAGAAATTGAAAACATAAATCTAAATAGGTATACGCAACGATTTTTCATATAGGAATATTCGTTGTGTCTATTTATAGCATTTCGCATATTGTGTGGTGTATTTTTCTTTTTCGAAGTTATATTTTTTGATGTTCCCTCATGTGGAATTACAAATTAGTACTCAAAAAGATTTCATTTAACATTTGCTCCTTCTCTATTTATTTACGTTCTCTGCTACATGTGAAATTCCTCCCTTGACACAAACCGTTAACTGCATTAGCCACTATTATTGTTACGACCCATTTCAGATCCATCGTTTATCTAGACACTCCATAAAATCTGAGTAACACCGGAACCGGAAATCAAAGTGATTGCTACAACTATTTAAAATAATTAAGAGAAAAGTGCAAGAGGGAAAGATGAAGTGGTAAACATTTACTTTTTAGCAGAAATAAACGAAATTATATATATAGTAGTTATTATATATACATAAATATGCATATGCAAATAGCAACAGGAAACGCTGTTTCACTCCTCGGCAGACGATCTCAAACCTTCGGGAAGATCACTGTCATTAAGACATGTCGCATAAATCTTTTTTGGAGACTCTATTTTTCAAACAATAAGAGCAAACTGTACGCCACCAAAATTTGCATACTTTCATATGTATATACATGTGTGCAAATAGGTTGTTACCTCATTCATAACTGATAATGACATCTGATGTACAGATATATGCACATACATATATGTCTATATATTATATGAATATACGAATATACAAACCATCTTTTTCACTCCTGACACTTAGTGCTTTCGAAAATGCTCAATACGTATGCTCAGTTATCAACCAGTTGCGTTATCATTTACGTGCAAATGGGTTTGGATGTGTGAATTTGTTAGGCTGATTTGCCTCTGTTGAACTGATTAAAATATACGTTGCTTTAAGTTGAAACTTTTTGAGTACCGCAACTACAAGATAACGTGATACGGGGGGTGATACCTGTATTGAATTTCGTGTGAAGCTTTGACCATTACGACGCAGATGAGTTTTCGCCTCAGTCTTTCAAGCACCGCTGACTAGCGAAGTTCATTTAGATTTCAGCAATTGAATTCAATTGTGATATACTTGTACAAGTAAAGCAAACAACAAACGACTATTTATACCTGTACCAATTAGATGTCTATTATAAAGGGAAGAGCCAAATTTTAATACACAGCAGTTTATATTTTGAAACCAAAGGAACCAAAGGTATATACATATGTGCTAATTTTTTATATTCGGGTCCAGATGTAGAAGACGAAAAATGTCTATTTTTCAGTTATCAAACAACGATCTAAGCTCCATAAAAAATGTAATAGGTTTTAATATATGATATATTTTCTAGTTGGAGGGAAAATAATGTTGTATAGGAATTTGCTGAAGTCAAGTAAAATCTCAACCAATTAAATTTATTTTCCGCTAAGGATACTTAAATTAGATATACATATTGTTGCAAAGTGTTTATTACAATTTAAGAACAACCAAACAATGTAATCAAATCTGTTTCTATTTTAGTAGCATGAAAATAATTTGTAATCTTATCAGGTATTCAAATTACGTATTTAACTTCAACTAGCAATCATTTGAATGTTAATGGTGTACTTGTGATCATGTCTCAACATTGAGGATTTAATTATTGGCGTTGTCTATTCTGATATCATATTTCTTTGTCTCTTTACTTTTCTCTTTAAGGAAAACTTCTTGTTGTATATGTATATGTATGTATGTACGTATGTAAATATATGCATATGTTTGTATGTTTGTTCAAAAACAATAACTCATTAATTTATTGCTATTTTCATAAACGTATATATGTACATATGTACCATATATAAGACAAAATAGAAATTGTCATAAATTTACTTTATATTTATAGATTTTCTTCAATTACTAATTTAAATTGTTCGATTAAAGTACGATATTACACTCACAAACTACTGCTTTCGCAGGTAATTTTCGTTACGTTTGGCATGTTATAGATTATTATTTATTAAATGACATACATATATAGTCCATAGAGATGTACGAGTATGTTTATGTTATGGGGGCCTATTGAGATATTGAATAAAATTTTAAGATTATTAAATTTGATAATTTGTGCTATCTACACATACATACGCATGTATGTATGATATCTCAGACCTGAAAAATATTTAATAAGCTTCGTATCTGTGTATATATGTAATTGCAACTGTATGATCTAATCTGAAAACCTCCTCAATATTGTCTATCGCTACAGTTTAATCATTTATTCTGCATCAAAGCATGTCCATATAGATAAATATGTCGGGTTTTCCAATAGGGATGATATGAATTCTAAGTGTCGTTTTTTTTTAAATATATCATGACTGTAATTTTTTTTCATTGTATTCAGTAATGTTTATAATTTCATCATAGAAAGATATACGAAAGAACAACGTTTATAAATGATTCACTTTTATTATCAAAATAATCGTTCTCCAATTGCAACTTTTCGAACTTTTCATGCGCTCTCATCTTCTCCGATGAGCCTCACTTTCATCTGAGTGGTGGGGTAAATAAACAAAACTGTGGATTCTGGCGCGAAGAAAATCCACAAACTATTCATGAACAACCATTATAATCACCTAAATTGACAGTTTGGTGTGGTTTTTGGTCTGGTGGAATCATCGGTCCGTACTTCTTTCGAAATTAAGCTAGTGACACCGTTAATGTCAATGGGGAGCGGTATAGATCGATGATAACCAAGTTTTATGGCCCCAATTGGAAGAAGTTTATCTTGACAACATCTGGTTACAACAAGACGGGGCTACGTGCCACACAGCACGTGCAACAATCGAATTGAAACGAAAAAACTTTGGAGATTCGATAATTTCAAGAAATTATGACATGGAATGGCCTCCAAGAAGTCCTGATTTAACACTATTAGACTACTTATTGAAGGATTATTTGAAGTCATTGGTCTTTAGCAATAAACCAGACTCTCTTCAAGCTTTAGAAGTCAATACTGAACATGCTATTTATGACTTACGACTTGATTTAGTGGAAAAAGCATTCGAAAATTGGGTTCATCAAATTCGTTCCTGCAAAATAAGTCGTGAAAGCCATTTAAATGATGTTACATTCGGAACTTAATTGTATTGATTGTGCTTCACATTAAATCAAAAACATATGAATTTCCTTAGAAATTTTTTGAAAAAAATCATATCACTCTTATTGGAAAACCCTTTATGTATTTATATATTTTTGCAAGTCGCATTTATTACATAATGAAAATATTCATAAATGAATCACAAAGACCGTTACAATCATTGAGTATTTTTTACAATTATGAAGTTGTAAACAAACAAATGTTGATTGTAATTCAACCGATTAGATTAATTAAATGTTAATCGTTAGTTGTGAAATGTATAGTTTGCAGAAAATGTCCGTACCGAAAATTGAGGATCTGAAGAGTGTTGTACAGCCATATTTAGCTGGCGGAGAGTTGCAGTCGTATAGCACTCGTTACCTCACCAAGCCAGGCGACAACTATGGCAGCTGCATGCTGGCTATAGCTGCCAAAATTAAAACTCTAAATGGGCTCATCGAAGAACTACCATTAATTGCGAAATTGCCCCCTGTGACGAACGATTTATACTGGCAAATATTTCAACCGGAACGCACTTGCATTACCGAGAACAAAATGTATGAGATTGTGGTACCAGAAATACAGCTATTGCAACTTGAAGCTGGCTTATCGAAGGATAAACTATTTGATGCGCTTCCTGGTTACTATGGAAGTCGGATATCACTTGATCCAAATGCTACCAAAGTTGACAGAAATGCTGTTCTAGTGCAGGAAAATCTCCAGGCGTCTGGCTACAGAGCTGGCAATCGTCACAAAATGTTCGATTTCGTTCATGCGAAACTCGTCTTGGAATATATGGCGCAGTATCATGCGCTACCTATTGCTTTGCGCATTAAAAAGTCAGAGTTATTTGCAAGAACCTTACGCCCATATTTCAATCGCTTCAATATGAATACCACAATGGGCGATGAAGTGAAAAACGAAATGCGCAGAGTGAGTCTCTTTTTTATTAATGGATGCATTTCCCTTTATATTTAAAAAAATTGCTGTTTCTTAAGGAAGTACATGAAGATCTACAGTTGGCCACTAACAACAATGAAGAAGCGGTCAATGAAATTCTAGAGAGGATTCAAATGTACGATGAATGGTTGGAGCAACCAGAAGCTGCCGATGGATTATACACCAGCTTGGTACACTGCGATATGTGGATAAACAATATCATGTTTAAATATGGTACACAAGTATTCAAAATTCTCATTTATTTTGTAATCTCCTATATATATTTTTTAATTAAAATATATTTTTCGTTTTATTTGTAATAGACGATAGAGATCAACCCACGAAGTTAAAATTTGTAGACTTCCAAATAGCACAATATGAGTCCTTCGTGCACGATATTATATTTTTCCTCTTCTCTAGCGTCGATTGCACCGTGCTTGAAGATAATTTCGAAAGTTTTTTGCAAATTTATTATGACGCTTTTATACATAACCTGCAAGAAGTTCAAATCAATACAGATGATTACTCCTATGATGGGTGGGTATGCAAAGAATGCAGCCTTGGCATGGTATGTCAAGCGGCAACCATCGCTTGAAAAACCTCTTTCCCAAAAGCCGAAATTTCTTTAAAACTCTCAGCAGCATGAATATATTTCTAATGGAATGTGTATTAATTTTATTATTTAGATTCTTGAATGAAGTGCGACGCGTGGGACCAATTGAAATTCCACATCCGATATTTATGACAAAAGTAATTTTAGCCGACAGCAGCACACTTCCGGAAGATTTCAAGGACTTAGATATGACTACTTTAAGTAAAAATCGTGGACTGAAAACGGTTACTAAACGATTGGAAGATATTTTGCGGTTGGCGAAAAAATTTAAATTAGTTTAACGCTATGTACATTAGCTGTGTTATCTTTGTAAAGCTTTATTTACTCTGTCTATGCTTTAATATTGCAGAAATATAAGAAATAAGTACATAGTACTTGAAGCAATAATTTAAATACTTTTATTTATTTCATTTTATTCTCTAATTATTTAAATGGGATTTAAACATTTTTCAATAAGCTCTTCTAAGTTTTATATGCTGTAGGAATGTTGACTTTGCCTGCCGAAAAAATATAAGAGACTTTTATACTTTTACTCCAGCCGGGATTTGAAATCACGATAAAATTGTCTTATTTAAGAGAGTTTCTTGAGAAACTCGAAGGATTTGTTTTGTTCAATTACAAGTGTTAATAAAAAAATCGTCGAAAAATGTTCAGTAAAATTTGCATTATTTGTAAAAACGTCTGCCAAAAATACAATTTTTACTTTTTTTGTTTTTTCTTCACCCAATACCTAATTTATGGTCTTAATTAAAAAAACATATTTTTTTCTTTTAACTTTTGATGATCCTGTAAGAAGTTTTGCTGTCAACGCGGAGACATCTTTTTTCCGAGGGACTGCCGGAAATGACGTCGTAATGGCCGAGTTTTGAATATTTTCCTTTGAAAATTTCACCAAATCTTTTTAAAATATGTATCTATAGAATAATAAAAAATACAAATAAAATATATATTTTTTTAAATACAAGTATATATATTTTTAATTTATATAGAAGGCCTTCGGGACAGCGATAATCTCATCCCATTCAAATCGTTGATCGAAATAGCATACTTTTTTTTTTGAGTGGATTATATCCACAGTTTTTGGAAATTCTAAAAATACTTTATCATGAATAAATTAATCAAATGAAACAGATGCTTCGTTTGGGTAAGGCTTGATGTAATTCAGGCGCGTCTTATATGTAAGAATGAAACCCAAATTCTTTTGTAAGGACCTCTTGAGAATAGTAAGTTTTTATCTTAATATCATATTAAATGGTACATCATAGGTAAAAAGACAATGTACATTTTATTTAAAGCGCGATTTTGATTGAATTGCATACGAATGTTAAAGTTCAGTGCAAACACATTACGGTTGTTCCTAAAAGTATGCTTTCCTGTTTTTTAATTTAATTCCAAATAGACTATCAGCAAAGAATGTTAATAAATAATATCTGCTTGAAGCAATGAAGTAGAATCAGAGAATGTTGATGATACCGGTAATACAGATTTTTAATTCAGAAGGCTTTTCATAATTATAAATTTGTCATATCATAGAAATTGAAAACATAAATCTAAATAGGTATGCGCAACGTTTTTTCATATAGGAATATTCGTTGTGTCTATTTATAGCATTTCGCATATTGTGTGGTGTATTTTTCTTTTTCGAAGTTATATTTTTCGATGTTCCCTCATCTGGAACTACAAATTAGTACTCAAAAAGTTTTCAGTTAACATTTGCTCCTTCTCTATTCATTTACGCTCTCTGGTAGAATATAATATATAGATATGTTTACTACTCTAGTCTGTGAGAAGAAAAAGAAAATTTGGAGTTAGTATAATGAATATATTGATATGATATGAATTATATGAATTAATTGCCGTTATGATTCAACCAAGATTAGAATAATTTAGCTTGCTCGTCTCCCGATGATGCCACGTATGTCCTTTTGTCCCCGAGCGAGTAAGTTCCCTTTTTTTTGTTAATAATAACCCAACGATTACCCTCCTCCCGCCCAACCGACGCGAGGGGCGCAATCCGCATACGTGCGGAATTAGCCGAGTCAGAAAAGGCAAGAGAGTTTTTTAAGTGTTCAGATCTAAAACTGCTCAGCTACAGAAACAAAAATTTCAACAGCCAAGATTTAAAGTTACAATATAATAAATTGTTACATTTTCATTTATTAACAGAAAACAATAAAGTCTTTTTAATTTTGAAAAGTGAGTCAGATAAGTCAAATGTGCTGGAATGAGATTTAAATCATGACATATACGGCGGAATGGCTCGTTTAGTTCAAAATTTGATCTACAGGATTTTAGCAGTAAAGGTCTAAACAGCCTCGAAAGGCGAACCGGGATATTAAATTTAATTTCAGACACTAGAAAAGAACTGCAAACTGTTCCATTCAAAATTTTCACTAAGAATATTATGCCAAGCATTTCCCTACGACTATAGAGTTATGGAGGTAGAGTTACCCTAGAATCCCATCGGAAATGCGCTAAGGCGAAAAGTAAAAATTGTTTTTTGAACAGACTCTAACTTGTCAGAATGGATTTGGTAGCTAGGGTTCCATACAACTGAGCCATATTCCAATATATGTCTAACCAAAGTTGTATAAAGTGTTTTAGTAATATACGGATCTCTAAATTCTTTAGACCAACGTTTAACTAAACTGAGGACAGCTTTTGCTTTCAAGACCATGGTATCAAAATGAAGACTAAAATTAAGCTTAGGGTCCATATTAACTCCCAAATCAACATAGTTAAAAACTTGCTCTAGAATATGGTGTTTTATTACATAAGAAGAGTAGTGCACAGATCTACGGGAAAAGCACATCATCTTACATTTATTGAGATTCAATGGCAAATCATTTCTATCACACCATGCAACCAAATTGTTTAAGTCTATTGTCAACAGACACCTTTCTTCAGTTGAAGTGTATAATTTAAAAAGCTTTACGTCGTCAGCGTATAATCAAATTTTTGAGAATTCTATTACTGCAGAGATATCGTTAATAAACAACAAAAACAGAATCGGGCCACGATGACTACCTTGCAGAACACCTGAAGAAACATAATTGTATCTGAAGGTGTATCCTCAAATATCCCTCGTTGTGTTTTATTATAAAGTTAGGAAGATACCCATTGAAGGAATCTTGGCTGAAAGCCCAGCAGATTAAGTTTATGTATGAGAATCGAGAGATTTACTTTATCTTAAAACAACGTAAATATTCTTCGCTATGATGATACTACACTCAATGCCCTTTAGGATAAAAGAACTTCCTTACTGTTTTTTCTTTCGTTCCTTATGCAAATCTGCAAAATTATATTAAAATGTCGTTTTTAAATAACATCTCATCAATGACAATCATTATGAAAAAGCCAAATGTATATTAAAAATTGCTTCAGATATGCTATTGATAGCCATTATATTTGACTGATTAATGATGATTCACTGCCATATAGAATTACTAAGAACCGCCACTTGAAATGTGTAATTGCGAACGCACTCATAGTCGAGTGTGGCGAACTAGGGGATGAAGTTAACTGATAAGCTTGTTGGACTGTTTTTATACTATTGCAACATGTTGCTACAGAGTACAAAATATTGTTCACCTAACGGTTGTTTGTAATACTCAAAACTAATCGAGATAGATATATGTATTTGTAAATACATAAAATCAGGTTGACGTGGCGAGTTGAAATTCGGATGACTTTCCGTCCTCTTGTCCGTCTGTCTGCCCCTGCAAGCGATACCTTGAGTAAAAATTGAGATATCTTGATGAAACTTGCTACATACAAAACGCAAAACGCCATTAAACGAAAACCTATAAAGTTTCATACTTAGAACTCACTTCTGTAGGCTAAAAAAATTTTGAAAGTGGGCGTGGCCCCACCCAACTCGCTAAAGTCAAAGCAACTAAATTTGCTGACAGTCTGATTTTTTTAGCACCTCGTCATACACTGTGAAAATGGGTAAAATCATATAATAACCACGTCTACTCCAGCTATAACGGTTATGTTGAAAACTTTATCTTTAGGTAAATTTCTATATCTTGAATAATACTTAACCAATTTTAACCAAATCTGATTTGTGAGACAACCCAAACATTTCTACCACACATTGCCCGTTTCCTATATATCAAACGTCTGAATCCGATCTGATTCTTTCACTCTACTGTGTACAATCAAACATCAATGAAGTTATCTGAGTAAATTTGTACAAATAGTGCCATCGCAGTATTTAATCGTATTGCCAAAAATTGTCGAAATCGGACTATAACTTTTCAAAAACCCAGACACTAAATATGTGGACCCCATGCACATGGCCCAATTTTTACTCAACATATCGGTCAATTAGTGAGTTCTACAAGTAGTATTGAAATTCGTAGAAATATTTTTGTAATGACAGTATGCCCTCGTACCAAAAATGCGTAAAATCGTCTCAATCCTCCCCTTAGCCCCATATACCTAATATAAATGTTGTTGAACTTCCGCTTGACTTTATACCGCATCTATCGGTCAATATGTAAGAAATCTTAATGAAGTTCTTTGTATTTTCTCAGCTGTGATTGTAAATAATGAACTCAATACTTCCTACTTTTAATTAAAATAAATACGAAAATCCCATATACCACATTACCTTGCGAGAGTATAAAATACTCGGTTACACCCGAACTAAGCACTTCCTTACAGGTTACGGAAACATTTGTGTGCGAACATGTAAGTAAACTCAATTTATCGCCAATGACAATGAAGTCAAGTTAATGTTAATGCCTCAGTTTATCAAACAGAAGTCACAATACTTGAATAAGAATACATACATACATACTTATCTACTCTTATAACAGTATTGAAACACATACATACATATGTATTTTTCTTTCAAACGCTGTAAGAAAAGGCTGAAGCAATTATTTCCATATACATATGTACCTATATATGATAAAGGTTGCTGTATATACTTGTATAGTACATACGTAAATAGATGTATATCTCAAAATATTTAATGTGTACATACTTGAATGGTATATGCATACTGGAGTGGGTGCCTGTAATCATACGCATGCTTCTCAGGGCAAGAGAATTGGAAGCCATAAAATCGCATTAACAATTATAACACCCCTTTTCTTTATTAAATTTTCTGAAATTGGGAAAATTGCTAGTATTTGGTTAGCTTCGTGAATACTTATAGGTATATGTACATACATATGCATGTATTTTATATGGACTGGTATAACTCTTTGCACTTTGTTATTTTTGAAAGTTTGTATGACAGCCATAAGTCAAGAAAATTCTTAACCCTTTAATTGTTCAGTAATCAAAAACCCAATTTTTTCTGCGTATACTTCAACTGGAGACAAATCGTGAAAAATATACCACCAACTCTTTCCGATTTTCATTTTCAAAATGAAAAT